TGTTGTGTGTGCAACACTCGCAACAATGGGCAGAGTGAGGTGGCGCAGTGTACAGATGGGGCATTATCTAATGGGCATTATGTAATGAAATTATATTCGTAATTGGTATCTAAATTACGTACTTCAAAGTAATGATTTATTCACGCCTAAATTACACGTGGCACGGTTAAATGGTCATTTGTATCTGCATTGCATTACCAATTACTTTGGTCTCTACTGGACATCTATGGAAAAGAGTGTTTTCGCTCATCGGATTCTTCTAGTATAAAAACATATTCTGATTTATCTTCTTGGTTCTTTCGGTAAAGTCACGTAGAAGGGAAGTAATAAAATAATAAAAATAAAATTTTTTTATTAATATAAAACATGTTTTATTATTTTTATTATATTACTTCCCTTCTACGTGACTTTACCGAAAGAACCAAGAAGATGAATCCCTGCAGTCACGAAAGCTTTAAATCGAAAAATATTCTGATTTATCCATAACACCAGGGTGTGTATTGTGATCTACCAGCAAACCATTAACTTTCATAAAATCATTAAGTGCACCTAGCCTGGCACAAGCTCCATGGTCATCACCATGAACAGAGGTTGTTGTCACCTGCTTGAGCGTGTACTTTTTAGACTACCAAAGACAAGTAGAATACATATACAACACATTCTAAAATGTTACACGCATTGTCCTCGGCAAAAGGCGACAGTGCCTTCCAAACGATAAACTGGCAGGAGTTCCCATGTCATATTTAATCAGGACGTTTGTGAAGAACACTTGTGACTCAGAAGTCTGTTCCTTTTTTAAATCCTTTATATTAAGTTCGCTTGCTTGCGTGCTTGCTTGCTTGCATGCTTGCTTGCTTGCTTACGACCGTGCAAATCTTTGGGTCGTTTTTTAACCCACTTCCCGTGATCCAATCGAGCTGACATTTTCCACACAGACTCGTTGTGCTTGACAATTAATTTTAGTGAAATTTTTTTTCCAAAATTTTACACTGTTTAGGGAAACTTTTTTAAATATTTAATTACCAATCGCTTAATGCTGGCAGACAATCATCTGACCCAAAGGTGGCAGCCATCTCAAGCCAGAGGACGAGAGGACTCTAGCCGCCACGCATATAAAAGATTTAGAGTGAAAAACTTTGTTTTTACGGGTTAATTTTTTGCCAGCCATTATCAATCCGCTGCTGGAAGAAGGTATCCCCACAACGTCGCCATCCCTCTCGGTTCAGCGCTGCTTCCTGCACATGAACGGGATCTTCTTGTTCCATCTCTGCGACGGTCAAACTTCTCAGATGCATGCGACGCCTTATTACTTTACAACAAAACAATTATCGGGAAAAACTAAATGGCCAATTTGTAGCACTGCAAATAATTTCCCTTTCCACAGATTTCTGCCAGCTTCTGCGGACTTCTGCCGGGCCGTGGCGACGACAAGAGCTGTCAAGTGAGAGGTGTCCCAGCTGGCCCTCTCCCTGCCACTCGAGCCAGCGCGAGGGCAATTTCGTCCTCTTCTGAATAATGAATGCATCTTCTGACGACAATGAGCGATGGCAGTGGTGGTGGTGGTGGTCGAGTCGCGGGCAAACGAGTGTCTCTCCATCGGCCTCCACTGTGGGTGCCACCGTGGCGAGATGTTAACTACCTCGCCTGGTGTACAGGAGGCCGTGGGTTCCATTCCGACCCTGGCGCTTGTATATTTGGAGTTTGCATGTTCTCCCCGTGGTCGCGTGAATAGTTTACCGGGTCCTCCGATTTTTCCCTCAACATTTAAAGACATGCATTTTGAGTATTGGGCTTCACTTTGTTGAGCAATCATGTGTGGCCAGGTCGCTTCTGAAAAGGAGCTTTATAGCATCAGTGGGCCTTACCTGGCAATATAAATATAGTTTAGTTTTAGACCTGCGCCAGTTATTGCAATGCCGCCATGACCTCCGTCACTGGATGTAATCACCGTAAAGAAGGCTCGAGTGACACACACGCCACTCACCTCTCGTGCACCACCAAGTGTGTACCAGAGTCTAGCTGCCAACAGTTGGCAAGAGTTTGTGCTCAGGAACGGCTTGCGATCACAGAAAAAAATGGCTTTCTGCGATGCTTTGGTTTACATCGAAAGGCTTGGCGTCCCCACATTCGTGACGAGTCTTAGCTACCTCAGGTTCTCTCCTCCCCATGGGGCAACAATTGCATTGCTGACCTCCACACATAGTTGCAGAACGGAGAATTTGAAATTAAAAGTTCCCATTTCAAATTCCTGCCGAGGGTCAATGCGACCCAATGTCGCTGTTTCAAGTGCAGACGAGTACCACTTTGACTTACTGATGACATTGCAACAAATCCATCAAACGCGTGACACTCACCGATGTGTGTTAAACAGTAAACTTTACCAATAGAAATTGCTATTGCTCAAGAGAACAAAGTCTGCATACACGCTGCTAGAATAACCATTATACCCTGAATTCCCTGAAGAATGCCAAGAACATGCAATTATGCATCATAAAAGGTAAAACGTTCAGCCCTGAAATGTCTTGATGGCTCACACCACAATTGGTGAAAGGACCTCCACTAGAGAGGGCTAGACATGATTTGAGCCTACTCTGGCCTGAATCCTTTGGAAGGTGTTGGAATAGCCGCATTTTGCCTCACCGTACACAACCTGCCGATCGAATAACTGTGTTGTACCCATTGGCACTGCTGGGTGGACAGAGACGGGGGGATTTAAACAAATAATTTCAACCGTACTCTTAGGTTTTTTCGGTAAAGTCACATAGGTAAAAAATAAAGAATAAAAATAACAGAAGAAACAATAGAAATAAAATAATAAATCACGACGTTTCGGAGGCAACACAAGCTTCCGTCTTCAGGTGGAACCGTCACAGCACGATTGCTGTATCAAGGAAAGAGCTCTTTACTGACTTTACCGGAAAAACCGAAGAGTATGAATCCTTGCAGTCATTAAAGCTTCAAATCTAGAATAAATTTCAACCGCTCCACCGGCGAATTCTGTATTGCGAGCCCCACACCTGCTTACACCAAGGCAGACAATGTCTTCTTCATATGTCTGTCTCCTGGCAAAAATAAAGTATTCCTCACACAACTCATCCAACCACACGGCCTTCTGGGAGTGAATGATTTCAGCAATATTCAAAACAAGCAAAGTCTGGACCGGTTGCCATGTTTTTGGACTCATTGCCCATATAAAATAAACATAAACCACAGACAAGTGCACACTATGTCAATGGAACCATGATCTAGGTGCCAATGTCTGCCTTTCATTGCTGTATCATATTTGTCATAAAATAAAAAAACGCACCGTGTCATTTTCCACCATGAGCGTAATCTCAAGTTTGGAAATGTATTCCGAGAAAAAAAACCATTCCGATTGCTTACATTATCAATAAATTAAGTTTGTTCATCTCCATATCAATTGTTCTGTGGAAAGGTGAAATGTTCAGTTAATACACGGCGATTGATATAAGCAGTGCACACAATATATATTTCCCCTCCATAACTTTTGTTGTTGTTATAAATATTTTTGAAACCAAGCGAGAGTCTCATGAGACAACTTCTCGTGCAAGGTGATTACAGGGCTACAAATACGAGCAGGAGGAGGAAACGGTATAATTCGCAGTCCAAAAATCCAGTACAAAATAATAGCTAAACAAATGAACGTGAAAGAGTGCACAGAATAGTGAGTGAGTGAATGGTACAATTGCAGTGCAAAGTAACATAATTAAAAAGTAAATAATTAAACTGGCTCTGTGAAAAAAACGTTACGGTCCTTTTTTAAACGGATAAATAGAGTTATAGGCAGGCATACATTACTTTGCAATTAAGTTGTACGTATTATTGGTTATTTCTGTTAAAATGTTTGTTTTGTTTAATATTTTTATTATTTTATTATTTCCCTTCTACGTGACTTTACCAAAATAACCAATAATATGAATCCCTGCAGTCACGAAAGCTTTAAATTAAAATTAAAGTTGTACGTGTTTACACAATGGGTTATTACTCTTTTGTAGTCCGTTACGGTTTACGATTCTTGACCTGCATGTTATATATTTTTGGCTATCTTAAAGTGGAACATAACTCTCTTTATCTCCACTGCCATGCAAAATAAGAGACAGCTGTCATTTTCATACTTTTCTCAAAATACATTATTCGGAGCACTGAAAGTAACCTGCTCTTTTACGCAAAAAAATGCCAATATAATACTTATGGTGAGATCTTTTTTTTATTCTCTAGGATTTCAAGAATTTTCTGGTGAAATTATTCCATTAATAGGAGCACAATTTGAAATGTTAGAGCAATTTAAATGAACCGTGCCAGTTTAACACGTAGACTTTCACGCTTCAACACACCGGTGGGCTAAAGCAGTGAACTATTTGTCTTTTGTCAACGTGACACTTTTTTGCTGATTGGCCGTGTCGGGTGGTGGAGGGTTACGACACATTTATAAATAACGCGATCTAAACCCAAAAACGTTTATTATGAATGAACCGTGTCAGTCTTCTGTATTCATATTCTTGGGTCATTACTGCCACTTCATCGGTGTTTCGCTACTATGTCTTCTGAACTCCTGCCAATTCAATTCAATGTTTGTTCCATGGAAAATCCCCTGTAGCCAGTTACCCAGCTAGCTTCGGTGGCAACGGCCAACAACCACTAACAACAGAGCTACTGTTGGGGTAGAGAGGAGCCCAGCCAGCCAGCAAACTCGAGGCCCAGATTATTTTAAATAGTAGAATGATTAATGGAGAACACTATTGGCAACCCTGTTTTTCCATGAGAAAATACCTCTTCTTTCCACATCACCTTCATCATCTCTAGATAAATATGAATAACAGTATGAATTCGGCACAACTTCTGGGGAGCTCCTCTTATCCGGTGAAACGTGTGAATAATAGGGAGGATTTTGTGACTGCAGCGACAATTTTAGTCGCGGAAATGTGGCGTATAGAATCAGTTCCCTGCATGACTCCTCTTATCTGTGGGAAAAAGCCCCGATGCTAATAGTCGGTGGTGACCAATTCCAGGGGCACTTCCTGCTCGTGGATAAACGCGAGTAAAAATAGAACGAATTTGCTACACGACTCAACTCGTGAAAAATGTGTTTACAGCACAACCTCCGTGGGCAATGAGATATCTGAAGGTATGTGAAAATGTTTAATTGTGAACTTGTACAGAAAATAACAGTTGCACTGTTGCACAGATACTGCACTGGCTGTGGTACTTAATGAGTCAGGGCAAATCAGTGACGGTCGGATATGCGACGTTGTACTGTACCACGAGGCTAACCGGAGCATGGGTGAGCATATGGATTTTTCATATTTAGAATCAACATGCTTTTAGAGGATTTTCCTTGCAATACATTTTCCACATGATAAGCCACTTCGTTGAGCTATCGTTTGGGGCCAGGTCTCTTCTGAAAAAGGGCTACATGGCTCAGTGGGCCTTACCTGGTAAAGATTTTTTTTTGCTTAATAGTAAAATGTTAATAGTGTTTATAATATACGTATTGATATTGGTACATTTCATAGTTCTCTCGTGTGTCAGTACTGCACTTGCATTTGTACCTAAGGTCCCCATTGCAAAAGAGAGTAGGAGTGTGATTGGTGACTTTGCGATGACGAGTGGCTGTTAGGCTACTGAGCTGATGAGAGCCGTGAAGATGGCTCGCATAGGTCGAGCCCTGGTGGCGGTGAGCGCGGCATGACGAGTGCATGACGACTCTGTAAGGCGACACTGCCACGACGCGTGATGGGTCTCGTTGACTCTCTCAAAAGCGGCCCAAGTTATTTAGCGAAAATATTTACGTGACTTAATGAGCGAATCGGCGACCGCCCCGGCAGTCGTGTATTATTTAGGAGCGACTCATGCCACCCCCCCCCCCCCCCCCCCACCCTATGTCGTCCGCTGGATTTCAACCAAAATTATACTGGTAGGAACCTCCTGGTTACACCAGCCCACAGGGGATTATTGTGTCCGTCCGTCCGTCGTGCAGGGAGGTGCTGGGTGGGGAGGGAGGGGCTGGTGGGGAGGGGAGGGGCTGGGAGGGCGGGGAGGGGCTGGGTGGGGCTGGGTGGGGGTGGGAGGGGTGGGGCTGGGTGGGGAGGGGAGGGTGGGGAGTGGCTGAGAGGGCGGGGAGGGGCTGGGTGGGGAGGGTGGGGCTGGGTGGGGGGTGGGAGGGGTGGGGCTGGGTGGGGAGGGGCTGGTCACCCCGTGGTGCCCTTATAAATCTCAACGTTTAACCTACTCACGCCGGATTGTGCCCGCCCTCACAGTCGGGCATATTTGCGGAATACACCACGCCGCCGTTGACCCTGGCCATTGACCGAGCAACCCAACGTTCCTACCAGCTCCCTCCGCAGGAATGTGTTTGTTGTTGCTGAGTTCGGAAGTTCCGTCTTGTTCTAAAGAAATGCCTCGAAGATCCCACCATCGACAAATGAATGTTGGGTTAGGCCACGTTAATGATCCGGTCAAAGTTGTGTCGTCAAGAACCTCAACCACCGGTTAGTTGAAGAGCAATTCTCACAAACAAATTTTGCAGCAGTTAGATACGTTTCACTTGACACTACTTCAGGACAAGATCCAGGAAGTCAGAAAAAAAATCCATAATAATGGCTTCGAAAACCTACGTGTTAACTCGCGAGTTCAACAGCATCCTTGTACCGTCGGGCCTTGTGGTTAACCACAAGGCCCGACGTTTCGCTGCATGTGCTGGGAGCTTCTTCAGGACATAATAGCTGGACAACGTTTGGTAAAACTCGAAAACACATCAGAGAGTGAGTTACCAGTTCACGCTACTCAGGATAAGCCAGACTGCTTCTAAACCCAGCCACCGTAACAAGGGGGACACGGTATTAAAGGCGTATAAGGTTCAAATATCTGGATGATGACTGGCTGTAGTTTTAAGCTGCTGTTCAGGAAGATTGACACATGAAGAATAACTTTTTTGTAGAGCATGAGCGAGTGTTGTTTAGCTTTAGAGTTGAGTAAGAGAGCCGAATGGACGTGACACCACAACGTTGCTCTGCGGTGTCACTTTACAGCTCCATTGCCTGAAAACGATGCTGGACTCTGTGGATCGAGAGCGTTCCAGAAAGGTTGTTGCTTCAAATCGTCACACAAGTTCAATAACACTATTGGGAAATAACTGATAACACGATTCAATAAAAATGTTTTGTTTTAATAATATGCTTATTTTCTCAGTTTTATTCTTGTGAATTATACGATACATTGGGGTGAATAAAATATTTGTTTTACCTTATGGTAACCGCCATGCAAAACAAAAATGGCTATTGATTTTCCGCATGTGCAGAAATTCCCATACATTTTCTTTTTTTTACCTTATTAAGTGACATACGAAGGCCGTTGCCATGTTGTAATGGGTTCGTGCACCGGGTGTGCTAGCCAGAGGTCGCCAGGTCAATTCGCTCTCCCAGGGCAGCAACTGAAACAATGGGGCAAGTTTCGTACATCCTCCCCTTTCATTTCACGTAGGAGTCTACAATTGGTACACACCATTACATCGATGGGCAGGCAAGTCACGTGTGGTTGGATAATATAATAGTTGTGGGTATAGTACACTCGCCTCTTCCAAAAAAACCATCCGGTTAGCCTGTAAAAGTAAACTTGAAATGCCCTCTAGAGTTCTCTCTAGTTCAGGGCATTTTGCGAGCAGTGGCGTGAGCAAAAGCAATTGCAGGGGCCGCGCCTTTACCTTTTAACAGACGAGGGGAAAAAATAATGTAACCGTACGGTGACTTGAACTTTCGTGTACGTCCATCAGTGCATTCAATAATAAGATTGCACTGAAAATGATTACCGGGGTCCGGACCTTCGGAATGTCAATCGATTCTGAAACGGTCACTGGTTTTGGCGGTTATCGGTCAACAACCCTATGACAGATACAGTACATAGCTCTAATTACTCATTGTAGCTCTATATACGGTGAACTAGGAGACCCTTGTGTTTGCTAACTCTGATTAAAGTGAGCAGTTTATTGTTACGACTGATGCACACGATGCAAGCCAGTAGGGCCACCAAGTTGGTATTAAAATCTCTTCGAAACGACAGCTCACAATCATGGCATTGCCCCCCACTGCCCACCAACATTCACCACTGGAATGTACCACAATTAGATACGATACAATAATTGTAAAAAAAACCCTGACGATATCAATGAGGCATCCATCTCCAGCAACTGCATTAGGTCAGCACCGCTGCTCTCTGAAGCATGGGTGCAGAGTCAACAGCCGTCAGCCAGATATGAACCATGACTTCATTTCGCACAGCCACATGAGGTCACTGCAAGCATCTTGGCTGCACTAATCAGATACTAACCAGAGAAAAGTATTCTAAATACGGCAACACTTTCTAATTTTACCAGGCTCAGTCACTTGTCGCTCAAGTGATTGTGACCACACAAATCAACGCAACGTTTAAGCGACAACTACAAGCAATGTGTGACCTGCCCAAGGTATTCATATGCCCAAAGTCAGCCCTCAGCAAGGAAAAGGTTCCCCACCCCTGAGTCTAAAGAGACAAAGACGTAACCTTTACGCTGACACCACTGCATTCATTAATTTAGACAATCACCGTGCAATACGAGCTCATGCCCCAGCCTGCCTTTAGCAGAAGCAAATGTACCGCCTCTGTGTCTGTCTACCTTGCTAACTAGGCGCTTCCTTACAGAAAGCTTTCAGTCGAATTGAATCTAACAAGAAACCCGTTTTCCCTGCGTCTTGTGCGAAATGCACACCTTTGCCCCACTTAGAATGATAATTGAAATGCCCTCCAACACAGAAGGGACCCGACAACACACAAGGGATGTACAGCTAAGATTAACGTGTATATTAATAAATAAAACAATAAAGTTTACCAATAATATAGGGTGTTTCAAAAAGATGGACCCAATTTCAAAGATATAGCGATTTCAAATCGGGTCCACCTGTTTGAGACACCCTGTACTATTGCTTGTGTTGCGTTTCTATCGCAAACGTCGTGATGTTTTTAATAACTTTATTTTTATTGTTTTTTCTATCGACGTTTCTTTACAGAAAAAACCAGAGAATATAAATTCCTGCAGCCACGAAAGTTTTAAGTCAAAGAGTACTGTACAAATAGTCAAATACCTTAACATACTTTAAGTTTATATCACATTAGACATGTCAGTGAGAATCTGCACGAAAAACTAAAATCTATCGTGAAAATACACATATTCAGCTTGACTATAACCTCCATTTAACGGCTGTGTTACAACTATAATTGCTGTTTGACAGATTAGCCAATGCGGTTGTACGTGTGCTAGGGAGACACTTGACTCTTAACTAAAATAAAACACTGGTCGTTCATTCACAATTTGAATCCCGTTATGGCACTGCTTGGTATTGTGCATGCCACACTATGAATGTGTTCATCTGATTTAATACTGCAAATAATAATTGTGTTACAGAGCAGATGATTAGCTGGCTGGGTCCGATGTGAACTTATCTAGGAATGAAAGTCAGGAATGAAAGTCTGGAATGAATGTTTCCTTCCTTGAGGATTATTTTACCAAAACACACGCAATTATATGCAACAGAATGCTGTTGAACAGAGTCACTGTTGTTAACACAGAGTGATCTTTCCAAGAACATCTGGTAACCCAGCAACATTGGTTGAACAAAATTGACTGCTGATGAGGTCCTAGACTGTGGAAATCGGTCCAGGATTTAGCTGCTTAAAAAAAATCTTGCTGGATGACATTCCTCACGATGATTTCGTATGAAATCGGTCAGGTGCCGGATTATCCTCGTAGAAAAAGTCGCTACATATGTAGCTACGGGCCCCGCACTTTCAAGGGCCCCACGCTAAATGTTTTCAAGCTCTCAATTCCGGTTCAGTGATTCTGCACTTGCGCCATTGCTATAGTACTATACTGCCTTCAACTTTTATGAACGACTGGGTGTTTAAGTTTAACACGTAGGCTTTCGCGACCAATATCATCAATAATAAAGGTTTTTTTGGGTTAGATCGCGTAAATATGTCGTTAAACCCCGCCACCACCCGACACAGCCA